AATTAATCACGAAACTAGTATTCATCCTGTACACATGCACAAAAAAAATAAAAATTTATACATTATATGTATGCATACAATATATGAAAATATATATTAGATAATGGATGTATTACATTTTAAATTGACTTATATGCAAATGCGTAATGTAAATATAAATTATTTAACTTACGTATGAATATTTATATTGATGTCATAAATTTTAATGAACAATATAATTTAGTAATCTAAAGGGACCATACATTTAATTAGTTAGAAAAGTATTACAATTATTTTTATCATTGTTATTGCAATTTTCTAAACAATTTTAAGGTGTTTAATTATGACATTCATGCAAATTAACTAATATTAGATAAAAAAAAACGCTTAAAAAGACAAAAAAATATTTTATTTTAGAAAAAGTATTTTAAAGAAAAAAATTGCAATACAATTTTTTTTATAAGTATGTAACTTTTACATACTAATTAATGTAAAATTATAATCAATTAGTGTTAGTAGTAATATTATATAATAAATCAGTTTAAATTGTTATTACACTTTATTAATGTAAAATGTAACGTTTATGCATTAATTGAAAAAATGAGCAGGAAAATTATGAAGGTTTTATTAAATAAGTTTTATTTAATGCATCTGCTAGCAATTATATATATATATAGATTAATTATATTGTTCAATTCTCCATTCATCTGAGATCTGTAGGAATCGACGGACCATGAAATTAAAAAACGCTTACGAATATTCTTGGATGAGTCCGCCTAATTACTTGAGGCATATATATACATATATAAATTTGAGGAGATGTTATGGTCCCGGAACTAATCCGTCGGCGTTTGTAACCGTTAGATTAATTATCCCTAAAAATTACATGATGATCTAATGATTACAAACACGGAATGATTCCGTACGTCGGTACGTAGCATTTCCCATTTCCCATAAATTTGTGGCTAGTTTTTTTAATACGAAAGCTGCCATACATGACCATATATAGTTAGTAGGAATTAAGGTTAACTTCGACCCTAGGAATAACACCTCAAGACAATAATTTGAGGGGGCAATGAAAAATAAACGTCAAAGAAATTATAGCAGTAATTAAGCCTCTAAGATATATTAATTAATTTTCAGTTAATCTCTTGTATCAATATATCGGCTCGTTAGGTTCGAACTCATCTCGTCTCGAACCCGAATTCGAATAATATCAAATGTCAAAAGTTTGAGCTTGTCTCGTTTACAGTTTTATGTGCACGGGTGTGCAAACTCAATCTAACATCGAAAATTAAAGGTTTCAAAGCCAATATATAAGCTTAGTGTGTTACTCCCTCTACTTTTAATTAGTTTTAGAATGGAACCCAATTTGAGGTTGATGGAAAACTGAGTTTTGAATATTTTGTTCCAAAGTCCAAACATAAAGTATAACCTGCAGAACCAAGTATACATTTTATACAAAAGTGACAAACCATGTTTAATGTAAAACTAATTAACCAAATCAGCAAGCAAATTAAATATTATTAACATTGA